CGCTCCCGGGGGCCTCCTTGCCCTCCCGCCGGCGAAGGAGTCCCGGCGGGGCTGGGAGCTCTCCAGCGCCCTTTAAACATCCGAAATGCACCAGATAAAGCTGGCTGTGGCCTGCACGCGCTTATCAGTGAGATTTAGTCTGCACACAGCAGAGCCGCACGTGTTCTTCTCTTCTGTTTGGTTTTACTTTTTTTTCTCCCTTTGCAGCTCTGATCTCCCTTGCTTTCCCCTGCCAAAACGTTTGCTTCTGGGAAAAACCCCTGCAAGGAAGTTAGAAAAAAAAAAAAAAGAAAGAAAAGGAATAAATCAATTGGGTTGAATCCGCCCACTGCTTTCCCCAGACCAGTATTTGCAGTGGGGTTTCAGTCTCGCTGGTGGAGGACGCTGCACGTGTTAGCGTTCGCTCAGGCATTCCCCTAGCCCCCGCTTCCTGCGCGCACCAGCACCAGCCGAGCGCCTGCATTTCGGGCAGGATCGGGGTTGTTGGTGGCCTCCCGGCCCCGGCCCAGCCCCCGGCCTGGGCACCTCTCCCCGCGCAGCTCCAGGGAAGGAGGGCACTGCAGCCGCAGCCCGCGAGGAAATAGTCCCAGGGGGAGAGCTGAAAGGTGAAAGCAAAAGCAGAGATGTTTTCCTCAGTCTCAGATGGCAACGTGCGCAGGTTTAGTTCCTTCCCTGTGCACCGCGGCTGGCTTTAACGCTGGCTGTGCATCTTCTGCTGCCCGTCTGTCTGTCTGTCCCTGCCAGCGATCTCTAGACGCGCGGGGCAGTTCGAGCCAGGTTTGGCAGAGAGGCGAGCTGTAAAGTGCCACTGTATGTTGCAGCTGGATGGCAGAGAGAGCGCATTAATGCCGTCACCGAGGGCGAGGCTAATTAGCACAGCCCGTATCAGACATCAGAGAATCCACGTGTGCAGGGCGGCAGGAGGGCGCCTGGCTCAGCGTCGCTGCCCTGAGGTGACTTGCTTCGCTCTGGGACCCTTGATAAAGGCTGGAGGTCAGAGCCGGTTGCCTGCTTTGCCACCAAATTGCCCAGAGATTGAAACGGGCCGCGGCTGTTCCCGCGCGGGAAGGCTTCCCCGCGCGGCAGCGAGGACGGGGCGCGAGCGCGGCGCCCGGCCCCTCCGCGGGGGAAACGCCCAGTGCCTCCTGCACTGTTCCCGCGCGGGAAGGCTTCCCCGCGCGGCAGCGAGGACGGGGCGCGAGCGCGGCGCCCGGCCCCTCCGCGGGGGAAAAGCCCAGTGCCTCCTGGACTGCAATGTCAGGGCTGCGGCTTTCAGGTCTGCTTATCCTAGAGCCCTTTACAGTAGTGAGGGTGAAAACTGATAGTGCCGGGGCTGTTAACAGCTGCCAACTTTCCAGTGCTGACAACAACAGCCTTCACGTCGCCGTGTAATCAAATGGAAAAGTTCTGATAATTCGACTGAAAACGTACACACCGAAAGCCACACGCGCGTACGCACTCCCTCCGCTGGGAAGTGGGGGGCGAGAGGGCTCTGCTCGCTTTGCAGCGCCTTTAACGTGGGCATTTACTCAGCGCGATGCGCTCCACACCGGGCCTTTTTTTTTTTTTTTTTTTAATTTTTTGGCTCCGTGCGATGGGATTGTTTAAAGCTGCTGAATGGGGTTACAATGCTTTTTCCTTCCTTCCTTGCTAGAGAGAAAGGGCGCCCAGAAGGAGAGGGAGCTCTGCTCCCTGCACCGGCCTCTGTAGTTGCGCTTTTCCCTGAGCTCACAGGTGCAACTGGAGAAGCTGGGATCATTCAGGCAAGAAGCCGTGGGAGTCGAGGAAAGGAGCTGTCCCGCTGATTTGTGCTTGCAAAATAGATCCGCGGTACAATCGGGACCTTGCTGTGCTGGGAAATCGTGGTGAAGCCGGGACCTGGTTGCGGTTGATTTGGACACGGGGTGATTGCGTTCACGCTGCAGACGCGGAGGGCAGCCTAACTCGGTCCCCTGACGTCGCTGCGGGGACAGCAGGGGCGGTTACACAACCTCCCCGAAAAGCTGCAGGTTTTGTAGATCTGTGCGCTTCAGGGAAAGGGGAAAAAGAAGCATGGAAACGTGTGAAATCACAAGATCTCCGCTTTCTATGCTGACTTTCAGCTTTTCCATCCCGAATAGCACGACCGTGCGGGGAAAAAGTGCTACAGTGGAAAAGGATCCCACGCCTGGAGCTCCCTGCGCTCAGCCGCTCTCGTGGAGATGGATCCGCCACCGCCCTCGCGAGACGCACGCCGGGAAGCCCTCGGGGGCTGCGGGGCCAAGCGAAGCCCGTCGTAGGTGGGCAGAACAGCTGGCTGAAACGAGAAATAATCCATTTTTGTACGCTCTGCGCTCAGACTGAAAGAGAGTAGGGGCAGCGGCGGCAGAGCGTGCAACCCGAGGTGCCGAAAGCTGACGTTCGTGGGCGCTGACTGCGAGCCCCGGGAGCTGCGAGCCCCCTTCGGCTCGGCGACCGGACCCGCGGGGGCTGCGGGGGCCATCTACTGGGCCCGATAACTGGGCTGGTGCGAAGTTGAATGAGAACGCCTGGTGGTTCTGCAGATCCTCCCTCCGCTTAAGTTGCAGCGCATCCTTACGTGTTGAGCTGGCGTCTTTGGCTCCGTCTCCTCCAGGGAGAGGGCGTGAGGAAGGTATTTCGGTGGATTTTGGCAGCTGAGCATCATTTCCCAGGACTGTGGGGCCATAAACAGCCAGCATGGCGACGGCCTTTTTATTAAAGGAGGCCAAAAGCGGCTCGCCAGCGAGCTCCTCTGCGCCGCTGCCTTGCCTGGGGAAAGGTCAGTGAACAGCCGCGCCGGAGGGGGAGACGTGGCCGCGCGGCGCGAC